TTTTTTTTTTACTTTTTGAAAAAAATGCAAGGGAAAAAATTGTCCAAGGGAGAGGGGGGGGGTGAGTAGTAATAGGGGGGCGGTGAATAGCGATTGAGTTTTAAACCCGGCCTGGTAATCGACTCGGTCAGGTCCTCGGGTCACTGGGCCAATTGCTGAACCGAATAATTAATTTTAAAATTTTTAAAATTATATATAGAGTATTTTTGTCACATAAATATTCATAAAAGTAACAAAATTGAATTTTTGTGTATAAAATGTGTACATTAAAGTGTTAATAATATGTATCTCATGATAAATATTTACCATATAAATATATATACATAGTTTTGTTTTAAAAAACAAAAAATAAAATAAAAAATATATATATGAAACCGGTCAACCGGGTTGACCCGGCCAGGTCAATGCTCCGAGTCGGCCGGGTCATGGCCGGGTTGGCGGGTTTTGACCGGATCCTTTGTTACCCGGTCCAAATAGCCCACCCGGACCAGATCCAGCTCCGGGTCGACCCGCAGGGGGGTCCGAGTCAAATAACTATGGTTTATACGTTGAGGTACCATAATTAGAAATTACAATACTTAGAAACTATATAGAAAATATCAATTTTGGACAATCGATGCGTTGAAAATTGATTTTTTTAAAAAAAAAAAATTATGAAAAACTAGTAAATGAAGTCCTTATATTGAAGCTAGAATTAACAACAATTACGAACTCATATCTTAAAATTGGTGAGAATCTTGGGTCACATGAAAAAAGGAACAAAATTATTCACTCATCAATCATGGACAATTGAAGACGAAATTCCGTGTTTGCTTCATTTTGAGCCACCTAGAATGACATGTGTGATTTTCCGGCGACTTTTAATTTTTTTGACGTCGAAGACGAAATTACAACCTTTTTACGTACATACGAACCATTTCCGAAAAGGCTAGTCGTGGATGGACCATTTGTTAATTTATCGGACATACATGATTAAAATCACAATTTTCTCAATCAAATTTTATACTTTAAAGTAGTTTATGTAGATGTGAACTTTTATTCACGCATATTACGACTTATAAACTTATAGATCAACCTAAATTATAAGTACATTTAAAAATTTAATTATTTTTATTTTGTTATTAAATTTTTATATATGATATATCGAATTAATCATTTTCAATAATTTTTTATTTGACATCTGTATTGATGTAGCACTCAAAATAACTCGGCAGGTCTAAGCATGCAACTCGGCTAAGCCAGTCTATGAGAGTTATAGTATGATTGGAGATAAGCTATCCGGTCAAGTAGCTCGGCGGGCTTAAGTTACCGACCGACCTAAACAAGATGACTTGGGGTGCCGACTTCCAGGAGCCCTACAATACAACCAACCTCCAGGTATCAAGGTCGTATGATCCGAGGTCATGTTAGACCTCAGGATAAGGTCAGTTGGGTGTAACGCCCCATTATTTTTAAAGAGATTTTCCCGGTTTTTAAAGAAAAGAGAACCAATTTTTCAAAAAAATAAATAAATAAATAAATAATTTATCACTTATCCAAAATAAATATTCATTTGAAAAACATTAAATGAGCATTACTTAAAACCATTTCATAATTTTCTCATCTATCAAAATCATTTCATACCGAATCAACATCATCATATAACATCATAATCGTCAATAATATATTCATCACGTTCAAAAATCTCATCATCGTTCAAAACCACATCATCAATTTCAAATCATCAATATAAGTTTCCAAAACATCATTGTATTTTAAAACTTCCAAAATTAGTGCATCATAAAGCGGAAAAACATAAACAGTCGACTAATAAGCCAATTTGAAAGATCAGCCACCACTCATCTTCTATCGCCATGCCAGCCATCTGCTCAACATGAAAGGGGGGTTACATGGGAGTGAGCACACCACTTGCTCACCACTATGCACATAAATCAAATACAGATAGACATGTATGGTCGCAGCATGAACACGAATCAATCAAATTTTTCATCTCCTAATCATAATAATACTCATGTGCACATCTCTATAAAGCTACTGAGTGTCTTCGTATCGATTGCCTCCGTACAGGCCTTACATCGGCGCCCACTCAGTAGGAGTATCTGTCGACGGCCAAGTCTTACAACGACATACATATGGAAGGCCTTCGACATCTGCCCCGGTCTTACATACGATATGGCCTCCGTGCAGGACTTAGGGAAACTGCCCAAAAAGGGCCCGTACCACATAAACGGGGATAACCACTCAATGGCCGATACAGCTCACATTGAAGACTACATGGTTCACATGCATACATTGATCATACCATCCAAACAATAAAAACAATTCACGACATAGATATTTGAATAAACCCACCTTTTTTAGAGAATCCGAAAATGCAAAAGAGGCTCGATAGGTTTGAGGGGCTCGACTCCTCGGAAACCTAAATTAAGCAAGATCCTCTCATATATAAAAACGCGAGTGTTTTGAGCTTTCTTCTGGATCCGCCGCGTGGCCATTTTCGCAACTTTTGGAGCTTTCTTATGGGCCTGACGCGTGGCCATTTCTTGTCATAAGAGTGGGCTTTTTTGACCGATTTTTTTTTTACTTAGAATTTGGGCGAAACGACATCGTTTGTATTTGGCTAATTGGCTTTGGTTGTCGTGTGGTTAAAAAAAGTTTTTGGGCCCATTTGTTGTGCGTGATTACATTTTTTGGGTTTTTTCGAGCGGCGCCCGCTTCAGTTGGTGTGGCACTCTGTATTTGCTTTAGTTTTCTCGACCGTCGGCATTCTTCAGTTCCTGGGTCAAAACTCGCGATTTTTGTTGGCTGTGGCCCTTGCGTTGTTGCGAGCTCTGGGGGATGCTCGCGCGAGGCTTTGCGTTTTCCACAGTGTTTCTGTTCTCACACTATAGGATCCATTTTCCTTCTCTGACCAATTATAAAAATTATAGGTATGTTGATTCAGGCTTTCGGCAATTGCTGTGTACTTTTACCCACTTTAATTTGTCTGTGCATGTTGCCTCTTCGCTGGTAATTAACTTAATTTTTGTTGATGGTTGGTGTTTTTCCTGTTGCTATGCTTATTTATTATATTTTTTTTTTTTNATTATATTGGTCCTTCTACGATGCTGTGTTTGTGTAAAATTGTACATTTGTTTTTGTTCATATTAGGCTATTTGTGGACATTTGCCATTGTATAATTTTAATACATTATTTAAGATAATAGAGGTTCCTTATTGCATTTATCGTGAATATATGAATATATGGAGAGTTATCTGGCTTGCTTCTGTTTTCTTTTGTTATGTGCATTAAGTAACACTTATGTTAGAAGCTTATGTTCGTCGATTTGTAACACCCCACTTATCAGAGTAATTTTTCGCAACTTTTACTTCGTAAATACTTATAAATTTTTTGAAATCTTTTGAACTTAACTCGAAATGGTACTAAAACTTTTCTGCAAATCCGTTTTTCTTTAAACTTGGTCTAATACTGATGTATACATAAAGAAAATAGATTTAATCAAACATGCATGTAAAACTGGACCATGTTCATACTGTTGAAATGGTTAAAATCGGAAAATACTTAACATGCAGTTTGAACTTGAAATACGTAGCGGAATCTGAAAAACGTGTAAATATATTACACAGACTGTTATAAATGTCCACGTAAAAGCTTGCCACAGTCTGAGTCCACGACCATCACCAATACTTCACACCTCCTCATTGACCCTGTTACCTAAAAATAAAACTTATGGGGATGAGTACTGTAATAGAGATATCATAAACTTTTCTTTACCGGTATCTGACCGGTAACCGATATCTGATTGGTAACTGTAACTGAATCTGTAAACTGGCCGATATCTCATCGGGTACGTGTGCACACTCTGATGGATATTTTTAAGGCAACTGAGGGCCTCCATCAGAACTTAGGATGTACTGTAAGGCAACTGAGGCCTTCATCCTAAGCGTATAAACTGTATACATACCTCGGACATGATATCATATTATAGTCAATGTAATACCCAGGCTGGGTCCCCACCTTTTCTTCTTTGAAAACGTTTGAAAACTGTAAGTGTTGTGCTGGTAGCTGTATCTGCAAGCTACAGAAAAATATAAACAAATATACTAAGTACTATGCTCATATGCTAAATAAAATACTGGGATACTCGACTCTATCAGATAACTTATCCGGATTTTTAATATCAATTTAATGATTCACTGAAAAATACTACTAAGTCCGGAACTGATTTACTTAACTGAACTGATTTGGCTCGGGAAATACTTAAATTTCGGAATAAGACTCGGACCGAAATACTCGAACTAAAAATAACTTGAACTGCCGGCCGAACCGGCTTAACTTAATCGAACTGAAACGTATTCTGGTTACTCAACTTATATATGACTATATCTACTAAAGGATTTTATCCCAACCAAATTTCGTAATTTAATTCAATTAAAATTGAATTAAACAAATTCTCAAAACTCTATGATTTTTCAAAAATCACACATAAATCTAAAAATTATGAAACTTGACAGTTAAATAGCATATATACTCGAGTACTTACTGCTCGAATTTCAGCTCAATATCACTCAAATAACTCATCTTATGAATTTTTCTTAATTCATATATTTATGTCATAATTATAATAACTTTAATTAATCCTTCAAACTAAACTCGAAATTTATAAAAAGGATAATTAAGCTTGTACTTCCTCTCAAATAAACGAGAAACTGAAAGAATCGAGAAAAAAGAAGCCTCGAACACTCGAACTCGTCCTCGACAATTCGCTCATTTTCTACTATTTTTACGTGAACTTCGTGTTCCTCTAATTAAATGCTCGGAGCCTGAAATACTCGAAAAATAACTTGAATGGAATCGTGCCGATAAGGTCTACACATCCCAACTCGTTTCTTGGCAAACCTAAATCACACGCGCCTTGCAGGGCCCATGTAATCAGCTTTTTCTTTATTTTCTAATTTGCGCACTCGAACTCAAGCTTCTCAAAATAAATGCTCGAGACCTCGAAATGCGAAATAAACACCACGAACGGCTTCTACTCTTCTCGTACTTTCTAGAAAGCACTCTCGTTAATACTCAACCCACTTAATGACAGCCGACAGCTACCCGAAGACGAGACATGAAATGAACTCATAATATATTGAAAAATTGAAGAACATCTTGCTGATGATTTCTGTTCTTCTTCTCAGCCACCTCTGCTACTTGCGGCCATCGGAGCAACGAGGGAGGATGCTGCCGGAACCCTCTCTACCTGTTGTTCGCCGGCAAGGATGCATTTTGACGGAAATGAAATGACTATTCCGGCGGTGAAAAATGAACGAGACTCACTGCTCGCTGGAAGAAGTCGCGCGGCTGAGAAGATTCTCCGGCAACGTCTGAGAGGATCCGCTGCTCGCTGAAAAGAGCTCACCTTCACTGAAACATAACTAGCCTGCTTGAAAGTCATCTTCTCCAGCGATGGCGAGAAGAATCGCAGCTCGCGACCACTGCTCATACCGGAAAAAAAAATGGCAGACGTCGTGAAGGACGAAGACTGGCGGGGGAGACTACAGCCAATGGCTGATCATCTGTGATTTGTGGATTCGAAGCTCGACGTCATGGAGATTAAATCACCGACAGGAACGCCGGCATGAAGCTCGCGTCACAACTGCTTCCGCTGGAAAAATGGCGTCAGCGAGAATGAAACCTGACGGAAGAGACAACGACTGTCCTTCTTCTCCGACGAGAATTACTGCTCGCCCTTTGCTGCCCTTGGCCGAGAAACTTGCAACTACTTGCTTCCGCCAGGAAAATGGCGGAAGGTAACTTACATGAAGAGTTGCTGCTTCCTGCGAGCAGCTACTTCCCTTCTCCGGTGAAGTTCTTCTTCTTCGACGGAGTTTGAAGAAAATGTTAGAATACTGCTGCTCGGAAACAGAGATTGATATCGACGGCTTTCTTATATATATATATACATATATATTTAAAACAGCTTGCTGAGACAATTTTATTTTTCTCTTATGAAACTCAGTTGGACAATGACTTAAATAATATCCTCCTATGCGAGAGAAATCAGAAATATCTAAGTTTAACACGGTTGATAAACTCCTCTCAACTAATGCATATGAAATAAATTGACTTGCTTGTCTTGAATCAATATTCCCCAACATGCTTAGCTAGCATTAGGTGAACTATGACATGCCAACCGAAACCTCACTTAAAACCAAACAACTATTTTCGGTCAACTCTAGCCTTATGTGCAAAATACAACTTCAAGTCAACTCATGTCTTAATCTTGTCCATACGACTTTGAGGTGTTTTAATTTAAGCAAGCACATGACTGATCATCTCTCATAATTAAACAACCTGCCACCATTTGCACATAAGAAACCTTAATAAAATGTGAAACCATAAGTTTTTCTATTGTCTCGTGAATAAGCTGCCCATTGGAATCCAGTTGAGCTGAACACTAACGCGGCATTTTCTGCTAGCGCTAGAGGTTGTCGCGTGACTTAGCTTATGAATTCTCATGGACTGAGTACAGCATATTCTAATGCTAAATTAGTTGGATCAAACACTTAGAATAATCCATACATGTCTGGTTATAAACTAAATATCTTAGAAGGCTGAAATTATATCTTGAACACTTAGAAAATTCTAAGTATTTATTACTCAGACTCGACTATGTCTTAGTTAAAGCTCGACTCAGAACCGAACATACTTGGGTTCGGTTCACTACTTATCTTGAACGATTTATCAAAATATACTCAATTTCGATTATTCGTCATCTTGAAATAATTAATCCAGTCTTATAAAATTTATTTATAAAATAAACAGCCGGAATTAATTATTACTAAACTGGCTCGATTACTAATAAAATTAATCGAGAATTCTTTCAACTTAAAGTCGAACTTTGAACTGAATAACTTAATAACTGGCTCGGAACTAGTAACGAGCATTAATAATAAAAGTAAATTAGTTCAAACTCAGAACTAAAATAATTACTTTTATTAATTACTGAATGAGATATTACAATCTACCCCCCTTAAAACTATTTCCGTCCTCGGAAATACTGAATTGAAGATACATACGAACTGAATATATATCAGAGCTCATAATCTGAAAAATGAGTTCTACTGACAACTTTTCACTCCCAAGTAGCATCTAACTCTACGTGGCAATTCCATGCAATACAAACGAGGAAAATATCTGAGCCAATGAACCTTTCGGTCCCATAAAGCTATCGGCTCCTCCTCGTAAGTATAATCTATCTGAATCTGAATTCATTGTGCATAAGCACATACTCTGGATTGCACACGTACTTGCGTATCTCAAATACACGCAAAACATTATATATACTTACCAACTCGAGAGTTAAAACTAATAAAATACTTTACTTACTCGCTTAAGAATTACGAAAGGACCTATAGCCTTTCTCATATCTTACTCAACTATCTGCTTGATCATTTACCGTCATTAATAGTGATGGTAACACTAAAAAATTTCAACTTGACACATTAAGACTCGGAACCTGACTATGTGGCAATTTGTATGCGATTTACCCACTAGCCGGGGCCCTCGAGTGTGGAACACCTGCATATAATTTACCTACAATGTCAATGTCACCTGTAGTCACTAACACATCTCACCTCCATTCTATTTCAACTTCTTCGACTTAACTATAGTCGAGAACTGTGTTGAAATTACTGTACTGTTGTGGAATAATTTGACCATTTTACTGATCTTACCACAATTTCTTCTATCGAGGTAAACTTATTTTACCTCAAATAATGCTAACCGACATAACTTATAATCGATAACATCGCAATAATTCATACTAGAATTATTGCCGACTTCTCACATCTAATTACGGCTGCATTAAGTGCATACTGGTTGCGTATTCTGACATTCGATATATTTTAATCCCAAAATTTTCAACCAGAATCTTATCTCATACACCTTGATTCTCTATAAACTGCCTCAATCCTTCTCCCATCTTCCTCATCAACAGTTCGAACGATCAAATTGATCTAGCACTCAAAAATTCGCAAATACTATTCTTTTCTTCTTCTTCATATCGTAAGAAGAATTTATAAATCTCGATTGGAAAGATTGAGAATGCTAATGCTTTATAATATTCCAAATGATCTTCGTTGGTTACTCGAAGCAAAAGTTCGACTTTCTGGAGATTTTCCAAATTCTTATAAGTATCTCCTAGGTATGGGTAGAAGTACTTTCGCCAAGAAACGTAGGGCAAAACGATTAAGTGGTTGCTTCAAATATGCTCGATGGAACTGTGACACGCGATGCAAATCGGTGGGGTTCGTCTCCATAAATCGAGAAGATAAAATATCTTTCATAAAGGATGGCTTGATTAAAGAATCTTTGGATCAAACACTCCAACAGATTCTTGAGACACATCCAAGTGGATGTGTTCATCGAAAAATTATGTCTATATGGGTCTGTTTCGAAGATGAACAAAACCGCTATAGTCTCGATAATATTGTTGCTAAGGATCCCGTTTGCAACAACTGTCTCTATTAAATAAGGTATCTATTTCTTCTGATAAATACAACTCATTTAATGCTCAACTGCTTACTTGTCTGTTGCTTCTGCCAGAGAACATTAATATAATACTCATCTTTTCTTTCTTTAAATAAACTCCTTCTTTCTCCAAATTGAGTATCTCTCTACTCCAAATGGAGACTTCTGCATCTTCTCAAGTTACTAAAGTTCTTGGTGGATCTAAACTTGTAACTTCTTCTCAAAATATTGATATTATATCCCAACTCGTAAGAGAACTGGGGAAACACAAAATCAATTTACTGTACAGAGGAACTAGCCTCACTTTCTTTGATAATCTGCTAATAGCTGGCAAATGCTTTGATATTGAGGTGAAAAGTGTTCTACCTTTTCATAGAGCTCCCTCAAAAGTTATCAAAGATTCTACTGGTTTGATGCTATCAAACTCTATCTATGATTGCACGATGTTTATGGTGAATCATAGTGATGCTTTTATCATACTTCCTGGTGGATTTGGAACTTTATGACCATGCTTACTATTTCTTCATGGTCAAACATGAAACTTCATAATAAACCTATTGGTCTATTAAACTGTAATCACTTCTTTAATGGCTTTCTTAGTTTTCTTGACGAAAGTTTATATCAAAACTACATCTCTGATTCTACTAGAGAGATCTTGAAATGTGCAGATACTACTGCTAGAATCATCAAGAAACTTCAAGAAAGTGCCATTTTTCCAGATCCTGTGGAAACTCAAGGGTTTAAGAGAAAACGAATTTCTGATTCAACGGATTTATCTCTATAAACCCGAATAACTATGCTTTGGTGGCAGAGTTACGGAGTCTTGTACTCTTGAGACGCACCCTCCCATTATGTATTATAATGATGTTTTTGTTGAGAATTTACTATTACTTACTTGTTTTACCATCATCAGATGGTTCTTGTAATTGATATTTAGTAATAATAATATTCTCAACATTCTGATTGCTTTATCTTTTCATTATCGCTTAACCCATAAGTCATATCTCCAGTATCTTATTGACTGGATTAACTATCTTCATCCAGATATTTCTTACCAGAGATTTAATTAATCATCTCTGTATCTAGAACGAAATGCTTATTGAATTCTGAAAAATATTATGCAGGACTTAACTAATCCTACCATTTCTGATAACTGGATCTCAAACTTTGTCAATTAAGGTTCATGATAATTAACAGATAAAATACCCAAACTACTGACTCTAAAGATTGACTATTTCTGAAATTATACTTCTACGGTTTAATTTCAAACCTCCAGGTATATCCGGCTTATGGCTCTTATTTCAAACCCCCATGATTTACCCGAACTTATGGCTATTATACACTGAAAAACCGTTACTGGATACTGAATTGAGTGCATACTCAAAATAAATCAATTTCTAGACTCAGATTTTAACAGAAAAATTAATTTGATGACTTAAGTTATGATGTCTGGGTCTTAATTTTGATCTAATGAACCTTTTTGAATTATAATTATGAAACTGTGCAATTATAACTGACTAGAAAATCTCTTTTAAACTTTATTTGTACTGGGTGCAAAATGAATTTTAACTGAATACTTTATCTGAACAGGAATTGAGTTTAGAATTTCTGAAACTAAACCCTGAATTCTTGTTAAGGCACAATCTCTTGACGAATTGCTAACATTTAACTCGATAACTGGAGTTCAAATTATAGTTCGAACTAAAATTCTGACTAGAGTTCTGACTTCTGATAAAACTATATATGATATTACTATGAGTCATTTATATTGATTTGAGCATCTAGTCTGATTTCTAGGTTTCAGGTATCTTAAATCTTCTTGAGCATAGACTCAGTAAATTTGCTTATATTAAAAAAAAAAAACTTTCATAAAACTTTTAACAGCACTTACCTGATAGTCGGCGAGGTGTGAGCGTGGTGTGGTCGGTTTTCTTGAAATTTTTATGTAATAAAGTTTGGCTTTTCTGAAAACATTTCTTTCTGTAACTTAAACTTTTAGTATACAGAGCATTTAAATTCAGCTCTGATACCGACTGTAACACCCCGCTTATCAAAGTAAATTTTTCGCAACTTTTACTTCGAAAATACTTATAAATTTTTCGAAATCATTTGAACTTAACTCGGAATGCTACTAAAACTTTTCTGGAAATCTGTTTTTCTTTAAACTTGGTCTAATACTGATGTATACATAAAGAAAACAAATTTAATCAAACATGCATGTAAAACTGGACCATGTTCATACTGTTGAAATGGTTAAAATATGAAAATACTTAACATGCAGTTTGAACTTGAAATACGTAGCAGAATCTAATAAACGTGTAAATATATTATACAGACTGTTATAAATGTCCACGTAAAAGCTTGCCACAGTCTGAGTCCACGACCATCACCAACACTTCACACCTCCTTATTGACCCTGTTACTTGAAAATAAAACTTATGGGGATGAGTACTGTAATGCCCCGNAATGTCTAATATGGTTTATTTGTCAAAATGTATTAATTGCCTAATTGTCTAAATGCTATTTTTATCTAATTAAATGTGTAGTTGTATTTTTATTAATATTATTATTATTATTTAAAAAAAATAAATTGTGTGTATTATAAATATATAATAATATCCAGTTATTCATTTTATTTTATCGTGCGATTTTAATCTCGAACCATAAGGCGAACCGGCCGACCCGCGAGCCCGACAACCCGAACCGGCCCCAACTCAACCCGAACCGATCCAAATGAAAAAAAAATTATGGCCATTATTGCTGAAATTTTCGGCCCGAACTAAGCCCATCTTGTAAGGCCCCAGTAATCCATTTCCTTAGCCCTACTTTTCCTTTTTAAAATTTCCCATCCCATCAGCCGCAATCTCATTTTTCTATCGGTCAAAAGGGAGAGAAAAACTTTCTTTCTCTCAAAGATGAGTGAGATATAGCCAAATCCCTTCAGCCTTCGTTTCGATCAGAAGAGAGCAGCGTAAGAGGAGTTTTCTTCCTCTCAGAAAACTCTGTTAACAGATATCCAAAAACCCCATCAGATGACGTCCGCCTCTCACAACCTCCAGCCACGCTCGTTCAAGCCGCGAGAACCGTCGTCTTCCCCTGTTCGCGAATTGAACGGCCCTTATCGCCGGCATCAACCACCGCCGATGTCCGCCCATCAACCGCAGCAGCAAGCCGCGAGCCTCCGCAAGCAGACCTCAATTTCTGGCGACCGCCTTGCTGTGCGTTATCGGAGCTCTGTGTGCAGACGACCCACGCGCAGCTCCTCCCCATGAAGTGACCAGTCGCGAACCTTCCTCACTGCGACCAAGGACTGTATCCTCGCGAATTCCGGCGAGTCCTCCTCCTACCGAGCGTCGTCGCGCCATCACCCTCCTCCTCAGGGACGAACCACCGCGAACAGCAACTCCTTCAGGAGACCCATCGCCGCTGCTCTGTTCGCGCAGGCCTTTCCTCCGGCGAGCCCTGCAGCTGCTATTCCTCAACCGCGAAGCTTTTCCGGCGAGCCACCTCCACAGCGACGACAGCAACTCCGGCGAACATCTGTCAATGCAGCGACTTTCTGGCGACTCCCTCCTGTCGTGACTGCAAACTTGCACCATTGTTGTAAATATTTTTCCGTAGTAGAATCAAAAGATTCGAACACCGGGTCGTGTCTCTCGCGGAAGGTCAGCCGGATTATTACGCACGTTTATTCAAACACAATTAAAAGAAATAAAATTCCTAGACATTCTAATTCAGATTCTGGTTTTATTTTTGATTATCAACTACTAAGATTTAAATTAAGCAAATTAAAATAGCAAAAATTAACACGTAGAACAAACAGGATTTAAGAAGCTAGGGAGTCGGGGATATCCATTTTGGTTCGAGTTGTGACTATTGGGCAAGTGATCGTTCGG